CTCCGAAAAAATTTTTTTCCGGAAAAATTTTTTAAATAGGGGTCCCTATAAAAATTTGCACCCCCCCCTACCAGATCATGCTGGATCCATCCCTGTACTGTACCTTGTGCAGGGTCACGGTTGACCACGGGTTTGGACCAATCAGACCACGCGTTATATACATGTTATTTTATAATAACTGTTCTTAAATTGTGACTCATATGTAATGGTAGGGAGCAAAACTAAAACCACGTACTGCGCTACCAAGACGACACTACACAACACCAACCTGAGACACGGAGAAATCGTTTCCTTTATCCAACAAAAGAACACTCTTGTCAACTGCCAACAGCCCAACTTGAGAAAATGGCGAGGCTTTCACGTTCACATTCACAGGTTTTCCTGGCTTCGTTTGAGCGCTACTGAACTGGACTGAGACCTAAAATTTAGAACTCATTTAAACATATGACCAGAAAGTAATAATAACTTCAAGATTTAAGTTGGCAAATAACTAAATCAGTTTTACGAAATAGTGCGTCGTTTTCGAAAATAACCAGGCTATAAATATCATGTTTGTGATGTTACACTGAGTGTATATCCACACCGGGCGAGCTTGAAAAATATGCCTGGCCACGGTGGGATTCGAACCTACGACCTTTGGAATACTAGCCCAATGCTCTGCCAACTGAGCTACGCGGTCTGGTCGGTTCGAAAATATCACTTACTCGAACCGACCTGACCGCGTAGCTCAGTTGGCAGAGCATTGGGCTAGTATTCCAAAGGTCGTAGGTTCGATTTCCAGCGTGGCCGGGCATATTTTTCAAGCTCGCCCGGTGTGGATATACACTCAGAGTAGCATCACAAACATATTAACCCGAGTACACAACACCAACACAGAAAAAATTATAAATATCAGATAGCCAACTTTAATATATAGTAGAGAGTGAGATACTGAGAAATACACAGTGAGATATTTTCCATATCTTCACTAGTGAAGATATCGATCACGTGACTTTTTCCAATTTGCTTTGAGTGCGAAATTTCACAAGTTTGTGCTTGGGACTATATAAAAAACAGACCATTACACGGTGGCTTGAAGATATGACTTTTATCTTCTCGTGTTAAAAAAAATTACAATATTTTACTAACTCCCTGCGCTCGTTCGTGAAATATTGTTTTCACCACTCGAAGATAAAAGTCATATCTTCGCGCCGCCGTGTAATATCCTCTATATATCCATAGAGGCTAACCCCCCAAAAAATATTAACAAGAACTCAACCTATCCTGAAAATTAGTTTTAGTATGAATAACATCAGGGAGTCAAGCGGATTCCTTGGTTTTACTATACCTACCTCATTTTCAAATGCTCCGTTCACTTTAATTGTGACACTATCAGCGACAAGTTCCCCATCGTTGCGTACAAAATACACCACGATCTTTGCAGAAGGCGACATGATACTGGTAGCTATGAACTTCAAGGTGCTTGACTTAGCCGAAGGATTCTGAACGAATGTGCTTGAATTCACAGTATTGCCTCGCGAGAGAATCTGTCATAATGAGAAAACAAATATTGATAGGTTAATCAGGGCGCGAATTAAGAACTTTCAATAAGTGTACACGCCTAAAACTCTCACAGCTTGTCAATGAGATGTGTTCGCACTGCTTGTTCCCAGTTTTTGACAAGTCTGGAACAAGTTGTTATCATCATCTTGTAACAAGGTTGATGAGGCCAACAGACTCGCAACAAGTTGTTCCAACAAGTCTGATATCGTCTGCACGTAACAAGTTGTTAACAAGTTGACGACAACAAGCTCGTAGCAACTTGTTACGAATACAGGCTGTATTAGTCTTGTTGGAACAACTTGTAGCAAGTCTGTTACTGTCATCAACCTTGTAACACGGTGATAACAACTTGTTCCAGACTTGTCACAACAACTGGGAACAAGCAGTGCGAACACATCCTGATATCGGCTTGACAACAATCTTGTTGCAACTTGTTTGGAGATCTGTAACAACACACGCAAAATCTCACATCTTGTAGCAAGTCTGCCAACAAGCCGTCAACAAGTTGTGTTCGCACTGCTTGTCCCAAGTTGTCAACAAGTTTGGAACAAGCTGTTAACAACTTGTAACAACCTTGTTGATATTATCAGACAAGGTTGCAAGGTTGTTCCAACAAGTCCGATACAGTCATGATATAACAATATTGTTACAACCTTGTGTCGTCAATCTTGTAACATTCTTGTTATATCATGACTGTATCAGACTTGTTAGAACAACCTTGTAACAAGTCTGATAATGCCATCAAGCTTGTTACAAGTTATTAACAGCTTGTTCCAAACTTGTTACAACAACTGGTAACAAGCAGTGCGAACACAACTTGTCGACAGCTTTTGAACAGATTTGTAACAACTTGTTTGCAGACCTGTAACAACTTGTGCGTTTTTACGTGGGTACTGCAGCTTGTAACAACTTGTTTGCAAGTCTGCAACAAATTGTGCATTTTTACATTTGTATGTCATGCCAGTTTTGAGCCACAAATTCAAATTTGACCTACAAATGTTTCCGTGAAATTGTCGGCCGCTAATTTTTTGGTCTACAAAAGTTTGTAAGCGATCAATTCGTACCCTTACAAGTAAGTAATATATTCTCAACTTACGATGTAATTTAACAATGAAAAGTTCTCCGTCGATTTGACATTACACACGATTTCGTTTCCAACCTTAACAAAGAATAAATGTGAATTATAAAGATTATTATTAGCATGACAAAATTACTGGATGCTGATTGGTTGAGAGGAATACAATTATTTCATTAATTGTACTGCAGTACAATTAATGATTTTCCCAAAACAAACAAAATGGCGCAAAGGTACTTTAAACACAAATGTGAAATGAAATTGCCCTAGACGTACTAGATGAAAAGACGAACAAAAGCACCAAATTTTGCTTTAACAAAAGAACTAAATGAAAATACGAACAAAAGCACCAAATTTTGGTTGAAAGTCTAGCAGGACTCGGCTTTGGCGAGAGAATATGATGTTGACATTGAGAAGTATCCAATTTTGTCATGCTAATATGCTATAATAATCTTGGCAAAATTTCCAAACATCACTCGTACTATTAATCCCTAATTGTGCTCGCCATCGCATGATTACCTATACCAATTTTCATGTTGATGACTTTGTTGATATACACTACATTTGCATTCTACTTAAATCAACAAACTCACACGACAACAATAACGCGTACGAAATACGAACAACAACACTAACACTGCTATCAACAACAACAACACTAACATCACCAACAACAACAACAACAACAACAACAACAACAACAACAACAACGACAACGACAACGACAACGACAACGACAACGACAACGACAGCGACAACGACAGCGACAGCGACAGCGACAACGACAACGGCAACGGCAACGACAACGACAACGACAACGACAACGACAACAACAACAACAACATAAGGTATGCCGAAATCCGGTATCTTTAGGGAGTGTTCATTATTTATACCCGGGGTTGGTACCGAAGAGAAATGGGTTGGGTAAGCCATTTTTTGAACAAAGCCTTTGGTTGGGTAAATTATTTTCAATACAAACCTTCAATTGAACAAAATATGAAAATCCTTTATTTAAGAAAATGGGTCATTCCAGGAAATATCCATTCATTCCCCACATAGAAAACTAAACTCGAACTCCCCATCCCCTCTGATTACAACAACAAGATATGGTAGGACTGCAGGAACATGGAGGCTTGGGAACATAATATGAACTTGTGAAGGTACAAATGATTATATTTGACATTCAGTTAGTGCATGCACCAAATATGCATAGTACTGTTTATACTATAGTGGCCTAGCTTGTATAATAATATATATGTATCTACTGTATGTAAATACTTGTATAATTTTGAAATTGGGTTGGGTAAAATAAAAATCCAAGTCATACAATAGTTGGGTAGGGAAAAAAATGGTTGACTGAAAGGGTGGATGGTTGTTTTTCTCTTTTCGATTAGTTTCTCTTCGGTACCAACCCCGGGTATAAATAATGAACACTCCGTTATAGCCACGAATCGCCGTGCATGGCTATTAGTCTAGGACCTGTATATGAGTTTGTATGCGATTCATTTAGGACAGGTAATCTCAACTGTTTTAGGGTAAAATGACCATGGCGGTCAACATGGCATATGTGCGAAAACCTGAATCCGGGACGAAAGTCCTGAAAATGACCCCGCCCTGAAACGGCAGTGTCGACATAGCTCTAACTTCCAAAAAGGAAAAGCGATAGCCTTTCTGAAGTGCTTATAGTGTTTAGAAGGGTTGCTTTTAGGGGTGGTCATTGAAGGAAAAATTTGTCGAAGTATAATATTTTACCAGAAAATGACTATGCACCACCCCAGGTAAATTGCTGATTATGCACAAAATAACTAATATGCCTGGCAGAAATTTAATATTCTTATTTCCTAAAAAAAATTATTATGGGGTTAAAAACTATGCTTAATTTAATATAAATATTGTTGATTTCATAAGGATTGTCATTGTTTTCTTTAAATATAATACATTTTATTTCACTTACCCCCCACGAAAACACGATTTCAGCCATATTTTGCCGTCTTGTTTGCTTTTTATCGCCGAATCTCGCAAATATCATCCAGTTATTGTACTTTTACATAATTATAAATGGCTGAAGAAGATTTCAAAGAAGGTTTCATCCACTTTTGTAACAGTGCAGTGTATTTTATCTTCGATATTGTGTCCTTCGATATTTCGTTAAATTGCCGCCATTTTAATGGCTCGCCGCTTCTCTGCCCGATAAATTGGCCTTCTTCGTTTTCATATGTATTTAGATTACATTATCCAAGAGTACTTCCTTGTAGAATAGTACCAATCCAAAAATTGAAAATATTATTGGTACTTGGGAGGAAAAAACCTCCCATAATAGTTGTCCTGTTTGAATTCAAAAGAAATAATTTAAAAGTCACGCGCAAGTTCGCGAAAACACCTCGTGTACTACATGACAGGGGGGTGAATATTTTCACGAAACGTTTGTTCGCCACCACAGGTCACAGCAACCTAACTAAGTACATTATATTTATTGTATATTTGTGATTTATGATAAAAGCAATAAATATTTGAGTATCAATTATAAAATTACAAAAAATATAATACATTTAGTTAGGTTGCTGTGGTGGCGAACAAACGTTTCGTGAAAATATTCACTCCCCCCTGTTATGTAACCCACGAGGTGTTT